CCGCGTGGGGCTGCCATGTTGCTGCTGCTGCTTCAGCTGGAACGGAACCGTCGCCCTCATGGGTTGCAGGCGGCTCCCGGCTCCCCCGGCCGTGGCGACCGCACCGCCCCCGAGGGAGCCGGCCGGCGTGGGGGACCCATTGCGCCTCACCCGCTGGGACATGGTCCCCCCCCTCCCCGGTGACTGGGCGAGACGGGGGGGGGTTGTTGTTGTTGGGTTGCAGGGGTTGGATTCTCGAGGCCGAAGGGAAGGTCCCTGCGACGGGGTGACGAAGCCGGAATCCGGGGAGCAGGGGGCGCCCGGGCCGCGGCCGGCAGCAACGAGGTGGTGCAGCCGCCGCCGCCGCTCCTCCTCATCAACAATAGTGTCTCCTCCGCTGCCCCCGCCCCCCGCGAACGCCCATTGGTGTAGCGTCAGCCGCGCTCGAGCCGCTCCACCGCGCCCATTGGCTGCTAGCAGCTCGGGTCCCGGGCCCCCGGGGCCTTAGAGAGCCTGGGTTTGCGCGGAGACCGTCTGCTCTTTAAAGAGAAAAAGACCCCGCCCCCCGGGGAAGGGGGAGCGGAGGAAACAGGCCGTGTGTATGTGTAATGTGTGCGCGCGCGCGTGTCTGTGTGTACACGTGAATGTACGCGTACGCGCGCCTGGCCACGCGCGTCTTTCCCTTCCCACTGGGGGGAGCCCTGGGGACTCAGACTCTGGAATGTTGCGAAAGGAAATGTCCTGAACGAGAGCGGTCCCCAAGGATGTCTCAAGTCTTTTCCCCATAACTCATTTCCTTACCTCAGTTTTAACGCGCAGAGGATGTGTAAGTTCATCTCTTTTTGTTCTGTCCTAATTCCGTCAACGTTTGGACAGAGCTCAAAGAAGAAATTTAATTAATCTTATTGGCATTTTACTCCTCGTCTCCTTTTTTTGGGGTTTAAATCTCTACAAAGAGCCAAATCTCAGAAAGATTAAAATTGCTTCTTAGAATGTGGTTTTAGATCGTATCTATGAAGTCCAGTTACCAAGTGATTTCGCCACCTTCCAGTATCTCGAGTCATCAAGAATTTATTTTAATCAGCTACGTCACAGTTCCTTGATACTTTGGAAAGATGTGTGCTACCTTACAAGTTTGTAAAGTGCCATAGTTTGCAAAGGGATTTATTTGATACATCGTTATTTGAGACAGAACTGGACCAGCCATTCATATTTTTGTCTAATGAAGGAAACAGGTCTTTGTAGTATGGGCAAGAACTTAGGAAGACAGGCAGTAACACTAGTCTAAAATCTTAGGAGCTCCTTATCAAGACCAAAAGAAAGGTAGACCCATAGACCACATATTGACTTCTCCGGCTACAAATTGCCTGTCCATGACCTCTTTTTACTAGGTTATTAGATGTACATTCTAGACAGACTTCATCTTGTAAAAATGTGAGCATGGAGGGCACAGTATGATTTGCTTTGGACCTGAAATTCTACTGGGACCCTGTGCACTGTGGAGGAAAGCCTTCGAAGACCCCAGACCCACCATTTACTCTGTAACCGTAAATAGATCACTAGCCAGTTTCCTTATCTGTAAAATGCAGAACCATCTCCTTCATACAATTATGATTGTTAACCAAGGGTTAAAGGAGAATACAGTGTGTAGAAGATACTCAGTAATTCCAGAGTCTCCATGAGATTCAGAGGCCCACATCTCTCCTTATCACCCATTCCTCCTCTCTCCCCCACCACTAAAAGGACCCCAAGCCCTTGACCCATGAACCTGCCTTAAGTTGGCTGGTGCTCTGGATAGATCTGACATCACTACCCATCCCAACAACCTGTGGTAAGACAAAAACAGTGCTCATGAGACAGGACACACAGGAAACTGCCAACAAGATCCACGCAGATAGTGAAGTCCCATCTTAAAACAATGAGTAAGAGAGAAAATAAACCTTTAAATAAAGATGTCATGGACCCTGTATATGACACTTCTGTCCTGCACAAAGCAGGAGCTCAGTACATACTTAAGTGAATTAAACTGAGGGAGTTCAGCAGCCCTCACGTTTGGGCCTTCCTGATCAATTTTCTTTTCCTGATGAGTTCGAGATTATTATATTTTTGCCTACCCTTTTAATTCATCCCTCCATCCTCAGTGTGTTTATTTTTCTTTTTTTAATTAAAAAATGTTTGAGTATAATTAATACACAATGTTATATTATTTCAGGTGTGTCTGATCAATTACTTTTGATGTCACCAAACTAGAGAGCTATTTGTAGGGGCAAGAGACTTTTAGCTTTTCTGAGCTACTGTGCTGATTTCAGCACATAATTTCATTAGATCAAAGAGTTAAAGTGTCCTTGGCTCAATCATGAGTTCACCTTCTGCTTCTAGTCATGTTTCTTATAGAAAAAACTCTACTTTTCCAGAAAATGTTCTTAGGATGTCATTCAAGTTATGTATGAAGTTGAAAAAGCATCATACTGAAATTGGTTTATCTGTATTTAAACTCCAGAAGACAACATTACTGATAGGCTCATTTGCTTCTGTGTTTTCTTAACTCTTAAAGTGATCTTATTGGGGTGCCTGTGTAGCACAGTGGGCTAAGTGCCCAACTCCTGATCTCAGGGTCAGGAGTTTGAGCCCCACATTAGGCCCCATGACCTGTTGGGCCCCATGTATGTTGGGCTCCATGCGGGGTGTGGGGCCTACTTTAAAAAAATAAAAAATAAGTGATCTTGTTATAGTAAAGGAGGGTGGATTCTGAGAAAAAGTTTATCTTCCTGTAGTTTTTTTTCTTCTTATAGTTTTAACAGAGTCAGCCATATCCTTTTATAAATCTCTACAATGTCATCTAATGGAACACAATACAGCCACTAAAATGATAATTATGAAGTCATAAATTCCTTTCACTTTTAAAATGGAAAAACTAAAATGCATCCATTATAACTGCAACAACACAAAAATGTTTATGCATTATAAACAATATTAAAGGATAAAATACTAATATGAAAATAAAATAGTCATTTTTAAGGTGGAATTTGAGGAGGTGTTTCTTTCCCTAAGAAATACTGATACAATAGCCCCGCTTATCTATGGTTTTGCTTTCCATGGTTTCAGTTACCAACAGTCAACCTCAGTCTGAAAGCAGATGATCCGACTTCTGACAAATAGTCAGAGGTCAGTATTAGCCTTACTCTATGTCACAATGCCTACGACATCCATGTCACTTCATCTCATCTTGTAGGCATTTCATTTCACATCATCACAAGAAGAAGTGTGAGTACAGTCTATTTTGAGAGACCACATTCACATAACTTTTACTGTAGTATATTGTTCTATTTTATTACAAGTTACTGTTGTTAATCTCTTACTTTGCCTAATTTATAAATTAAACTTTATCATAAGTATGTATGTATGGGGAAAAAACATAGTGTACATAAGGTTTGATACTATCTGCAGTTTTAGTCATCCACTGGGGGTCTTGGAGTGTATCCCCCTTGGAGAAGAGGAGACTACTGTATACAATTTCCCCTAATGAAGGAGGAGAATTATCAGAACTTAAATTGCTGAGTGATGTTCTGTACTCAAAATCTGACAGCTACTTCACTGAGACTTTTGTCTAAGACCATTTCTTTTTTTTTTTTTTTAAGATTTTATTTATTTAGGGTGCCTGGGTGGCTCAGTTGGTTAAGCAACTGCCTTCGGCTCAGGTCATGATCCCAGGGTCCCGGGATCGAGTCCCACATCAGGCTCCCTGCTCAGCGGGGAGTCTGCTTCTCCCTCTGATCCTCCCCTTCTCAGGCTGTCTGTCTCCCATTCTCTCTCAGATAAATAAATAAAATCTTAAAAAAAAAAAAAGATTTTATTTATTTGTCAGAGAGAGAGCACATCAGGGGCAGTGGCAGGCAGAGGGAAAACAGGCTCCCCGCTGAGCAAGGAGCCCTTTGCAGGACTCGATCCCAGGACCCTGGGAACGTGACCTGAGCTGAAGGCAGACGCTTAACTGACTGAGCCACCCAGGCGCCCCTATCTAAGATCATTTCATGAAGGCTTTCCATAGCATCACACGTTCCGGTGTTACTCTTACCTCTCTACTCCTTGGTCATTTCCTGGCTTCTTCTCAGTCTGACCCTTAAATGGTGAGAGTACCTCAGGACTCTCTCCCAAGCCTTGGACTCCACTCACTCCCCAGACAGATGGCTCCATTTGTATGCAGAATTCCACTGACCAACACACTGCCATCTATTTAGCTGCCTGCTTGGCATCTCGCCTTGTACACCTCACAGGGGCCTCAAACCTTGTCCACAGCCGAATTCATCATCTTCCCTCCACTCACCCACATACAACAACTGGCTCCTCTTCCAGTTTTCCCTCATCTAAATAACCAGTGCCATTATCTACTCAGCAGTCTAAAACAAAACCCTGGAAGTCATCGTGGCTCTCACACTCCATTAGGGCAAGTCCAATGACTCGCCATATCTTAACTACCCGAGCTTTTAAATACTTTGTGAATCTACCGCTCTTCTCCAAATTCACCACCTCCTCCAGCCATGCCTCTATCTTCTCTGGTCTGTATTCTTACACTTACCTAGGCAGTCACCCTAGATCATCTTTGCCCCAGCCTACTTCTCCAAGCTCCCCATTCCTCACCTGTAATCCATTCCCCACACATCTAGAGTAGTCTTTTAAAACCACAAACTTAATCACCTTGCTCTACTGTCTGAAGCTTTCCATTTCTCTTAGGATAAAGCTCCCAGTCCTAAGGCTTATCACACATTCCATGGGCCCACCTCTTCCTCTCTACGCTCCAGACATACTGTCTTCTTTGGTTTCTCCCAAATACTTCATACTCTCATCCTGAGGCCTTTACACTTGTTATTTCCTCTGCATGAACACTCCTCACTCTCATCACTAGGCCAATTCCTGATCCGTTCTTAGATCAGGGAGGCCTGGGTTGTCTTGCTCCCCACTTAAATTAGTTTCCTTTTTTTAAAAAAGATTTTTAAAATTTATTTATTTTTGAGGGAGAGAGAGAGCACGAGCAGGGGAGAGGGGCAGAGGGAGAAGGAGACTCCCCACTGAGCAGGGACCCAGATGCGGGGCTTGATCCCAGGACCCTAGCATCTTGACCTGAGCCAAAGGCAGACACTTAACCGACTAAGCCACCCAGGCGCCCCTTAAATTAGCTTCCTCAGGTTTATAGTAACACCATACTTCCCTGTTATAGTCATAACACATTATCTTCAGTATCTGTATTTTCTTGTCAATGTTAAGCTCTACAAGAGTTTGTTTGTTCACTCAACAAATAGTCATTGGCAGCCTTCTCTGTGCAGAGCACTGAGGCATTGGCTCTGTAGCCATGAACAAACCCACAAGCTCATTGTCTTCTTGGATTTA